GTTGGAACTTTGTCTGATTACGTTAAGATCTGTCTGTGTGTGAAACTCAAGGGTTAGTCCAAAAATACCACTGTTATAGATTCAAAATGTGACTCATTTTCTTCAGTCTCTCCAACAGTTTCATTCAATGTTTGTTAAAAGTTGAGCTGTGGTACTTTTTATTACATCATTTTTCTCAACCTTCAAACATAAAACATTTTGAACTTTGGAAAATTGGTGAAAATTATTTAAGCTTTGGCTAATTCTGTTCAGAAAGAATGTTTAAAAGAAGAAGGTTGTGTTTACAAGAGATTCTTACATAAAACACTGGAAGTTATTTTGAATTTGAGTAAGAATAAGGAGAAAGATTTAGTTTTTAAAATTTTCATAAACAAACACTCTTTTCAGTTTTTTTTAACCTCTTGTTGTTGTTGTTGTTTGACTGTCAGTGACTGGCACCGTCACGGATGAAGGGATTTTAAATCATACTTTTCTGTTGTGAGGTTGAGTCAGTGGTTGAGTCAGTGGTCAGTGCTGCGTCGTCGGTGGCCGAGGTTCAGAGAGGAACAGACATGTTAAACGCTCACAGCACGATACCAGACGTATTAAAGTACAGTGCTGTTATCATCGATTCACAGAACCCCCGTCCCGTGTTCCAGGGATCAACATCCTGCATTACCTCACGGCGGGGGGGCGGAACCGCCTCGGAGGCAAACTGTTTAAAGTTGTCTTTGTCTTCACTTCTGACACAGGAGGTGTGTGGAGCTAAACGATGACAGCAGTGAGAATGATCACGTTGACCTGACGCTGTTATCTCAGGCTCAAAGTTCTTACTGGGGTTTTTTTCTCGTTATTTAAACATTAACACCTGCAGCCACCAAATGGCAGACAAACATAATAAAAGGTGTTTTTCTGTTCTAGACTAATAAAGAATATAAAAGAAACTAAAAGGTGTTTTTCTGTTCTAGACTAATGTATCATATTTGATTTAAATAATGTAAATATGAGGGACCTGAAAATAAAGAAACTCCTTTAATGGGAAGATTGATGGTTGGAGTGTTTGGTGTTTTTGTTGGAGGACGTGAACGGCGTTCACCATGCACGTCATTTCAGCACTTGACAGCGAGGAGGCCCGCCATGTGGGGCTGGATTTGACTATGGGTTAGCAGACCAATGTCTGTCACGACTGACTTTGTAGCAAGAGCTGTCAATGTTTTTGAATTAATGAGGATGTGATGTCTGTCATGTCTGTCAGTGTTCAGCTCTCTTTGTTAAACCAACAACACTGAGCTCAGAAAGTCTGCGAGACTGTGATTCCACTGCTGAGTTTGTCTCTCCGAGGTTTGATTGGCCTGCTCTTGCTCTACCACTGGAAAAGTTTTACTTTTTTTTTCTTTTTCGCGGGGAGTTTTTCTACTTGAATTGAATTCACCCTCTGACCTCCGACCTCCGACCTCAGACACTCTCCCACTCTATTAGTAATCCTAGTATAAGGCTTTTTATCTTTGGTGCTAGCTGGTGAGCTAATCCATCCTTTGTGTGAACAGGTGTAAAAATGCTGTGTGTTTTGATGTTGAACACAACCAAAAATAAACTACTGTCTTTTCTCCTAGCGGTTGCTAACAGTAAAATGTCTCGTAGCGTCCGTCAGGCTGAGGCAGCTCGGCTCACACTAAAGCTAAAACACGTTAGCGTCTGTGTGTGGCTGCGACTTTACTCTCCTGTTCAGCCACACTGAACGCATGCGTCATATGATCAGATTTAAAGCAGGAATTACACGTTCTGTTTAGCCATTGGGGCGGGGGCCGTTGAGGGGCCGCTGATTTGTGAAGATTTGTGCGTCTGTAGTTTGTTGAAATCGCTGAGACGCTGTGACAAAAGACCATAAATGACACACGAGGTTTTAAATGAGTTCAAATTTCCTGCATAACATTTTGAAAAAGTGTCAGTCAGACTTTTTTCTTCACTCATTCAGAGTTAATGAGAAGCACTGCATTTGTGATGCATCTGCCATGTTCACAATTCACCAGGCAATAATCCTATCAATGGGGCAAATCTCAGTTTTTATGCAGACTCTTAATATCGATTTCCGGCTGCTGCTAAGTAATTACAGCAACTTTAACTGTCGTGTCGTGTCCTTAAAAGGTCACTGTGTCAAGAACATCTGCTGCATTACGCCAGTCTTAACGCAGCACTTAGTTTTAGTATGTATTTTTTTCATGCTCCCATTTTTTTTTTATTCAGAGCATGCATAAAAGGGGAGCAGTGTACACCAGAGGGAAGTATGGAGATACTTGATAAAAGCATGAAAAGGCCAGAGATGGTGAGAAAGTAAAACACATTATCTGAGTGAAAGTGCAGCAGATGTAATGCTCCAAACTAACGCTTCCAACCAGTGACAGAAACTACACAAAATGATGATGAAAAAATAGGCTTCCATGCATTATTTATCAGTCACAGGATAAAAACCATCACCTGTTCTGCTAACACACTCCTGTCAGTCAAACCTCTGACGCTCGTATCGTACTCTACGTTCTCCTGTTCAGGAGAAGAATTAGCACGGGAGCTAACCAGCGCTAGGTCAACATGATTTCACTGTGTGTGTGGACGATGACACTGTTGTGATTTGTGTTAGAGCGGAAACTAATATTTTATCAATCGATTCAAAAATGTGTCCTCACAAAGAAGCTGCGTGGAGCGAGAACGAAGGAGGAAGTAGTTTGAACAGTTAGCACAGACGCAAGACGGAAGAAAAAAAACAGATTAGAATGTTTGAATGTTTGACCGTGAATCTTTTTTCTTTTGTACATTTGGTCAAGTCATATTTGATGTTGTTCCACATCCAGTCGTTTCTCTACAGAAGAATTGAAACAGTTTTTTTTTTCCAGTCCCACATACGGTGGCTGAGTTTTTCAGGTTCAGGGCAACATTAACAAAAGGTCATATGAAGGTCATTTTAAAAAGGTAAAGTCTCACGTTTTCTGTTGTAGTATTAGTCTCATCCCTGAGGTGAACAGTTTTCTGTTGTAGTATTAGTGTCATCCCTGAGGTGAACGTAAACGTGGCCCATGTTATTGACGGAGGAAACAAACACTGCATCAGTTCTGTTGTTTCTCAAATGACAACACAAATATTTGTGTGTCATCAAAGTATTATCTGTGGCAACAGCTGCAAACAGTCAAGACTTCTGTGCATGAACACGAGGCTCTTCTCTTCCTGCTCTGCTGTGCTGAGATCTGACTGCACACACCTTCAGTGTGGGCTGATTATATTCAAACGCTCGGCTGGTAAATTTAATCACGGCTCGGTGCAAATATACCATCTGAAAAACAGTGGTTAGGTTCTGTTGGCCTCGCCGTTTCAGACGCTGCCTCCGTCCTGTTCTGTCATGTGACGCGTACGTTCAGTGAAACGAACACACCGCTGGTGCCGTAGCCCGTTCCTTTGATCCTCAGTTAAATGGCTCCGTAATTAGAGGTGGAGGGTGAGGTGTGATGTCACAGCAGATGAGCTGATTACCACGGGCTTAATTATAACTTTGTTGGATAATGTGTGCACTCGGTGTGTTTCCTCAGACTCAGACGGCGGATGTTGTATTTCAGGCTCCTAAAAGCTATCACACACAAAATGAATATTGTTTTAAATTTAAATTTTTAAGAAGAGTAATAATTACATAAAAACAGTTTCTGATGGACTCCTATGTGCCTTGTTGCCAGAGTGACGCTCTCTGCCATGGTGAATGTGCTAATGATTCATTGGAGTGAGAGAACAGAGCTTTACCTGGCAGTGTAAACACACACACACACAGAGAGAGAGAGAGAGAGAGAGAGAGAGTTGTTAGGAGTGTGAAACACATGCCTGGGCGAGCAGGTAGGCTTTAGGTTTCAGTCCACACAGCTCCAGAACTGTAGCCATGACAGGGAGGAGGTCATCTGCTTTTGTAGTGAAAGAAAGCAAAAACAAACATTTAAACATCCCACCACTGGAGGGACAGGAATGGAGGGGGTGGGGGGAGTTTTGGTTGGAGAAAATCTGAGAGAATCAGGGAGGAGCGGGATAAAGATAAAGTGGTTTTGGGTCAGCCATAACAGATAAGGGAGCGTTGGCTCGGCTCTGATTTGTTTGTCTGGTTCTTTGACCAAAGGTCAGAAGAGTCGAAGTGAAGGAGTCCAACACAAACACCGTTACTGTCAAATGTTAACTCCCACAAGGAGAGTAAATTCAAACGACATGTTGCTAATTTAAATTTTGGTGGAATACAATATGAAATGCTTTACATTTGAAAAATACATTTTGTTATGATGCAGAAATGATAAAGGAACTCCATGGTGTCCATGTCTGGACAGTTTGTCTCTGACCAGACAGAATTATCCTCTAAAGTTTGACATTTTATTGCTCCATATGTTTAAGTTGATTTCATTATTTCTTAGCATTAATTTGATTTCGTTGTGTTGTTTTTTTTTCTCCTTTTCAGATGACCAATATACTGTACATTTACTCTTTAAACTGAATACACCTGTATATTAGCATGACGGTCCTTCAGGTTCAATCTAAAATCACCATGACATCTATATTTAGTTATATTTATTATTACTTGCTCATGATTTCCCAGCATTCCCTCTGGTTCTCTCAGCCCACGGTGAACGACTGACCGTGTCAGTCTAGAATGTTGTGAAACCTGTCAGTTACAGTTGAAACAGCGCTTCATGGTTAGAACCACACAGAGTGTGAATCACAAGGTGAGGAACAGGGTGGGCCCTGTTTGAAGCACCACAGGCCCCTCCCTCATCCGCCCCCCCCCCAGTAGTTGACATTCAGCAGACATCATGGGATTTCCCCCCTCTCAGGATCACTGACCTTCAGACTGTTCTTGTGAAGTGGCGTGCAGTCACAGTTGAAGGTTTGTCACAGAGTGCAGTGGAATATACTCACGTCTGACCTCAAGGATAAACGTGTGACGACACAGAAGTGGGAAAGTCTTGAATGCGTGAACTGAAGCTCCGTCTTGGTCTGTTCCACAGGTGAGAGGATGAACGATGAGAAGCTCTGAGAGCCGCCGGCGTGGACTTTTTTAATAAAAACCTCAGCACGACCCTGCCGCCGACCGTCAACAACCAGGCATCATGGCTCGCTCCTTGTGGAATCTACACACCGTCTGCTGGTTCCTCCTCACACTAACTCACGTGCACTCCACAGAGGGTGAGTACATCTTCAAGTCTCACCGTTGTTTGCTGGAAGAAATGGTGCCAGGAGTTTGGCAGCTGGAATGATTCTGTGTTCTGTACGTCGTGATGACAGTGGGCGGGGGGGCGGGGGGTCGGGGGGGTCGTAGCACAGCTTTATTATTTAGTTGGTTAATTGTGATTCATCTAAGATTTTCTGCTCCAAAGCATCACTTTCTCCCAGTGGCGTCGACGCTGCATCTATTTGTGAATTCCCAGCAAAATTGTTCCTTCATAATGAAAAACAAGCAGATTTCACACCTTCAAAACTGTAAAGCTTGAATTTGTGTTAATCACAGTGGATTAAATTAAATCATTCTCAGCTGTCTCATAAACACCAGATTCAAGTGTTCATCTCACTATAAACTTCAAAGCCTCATTTAAGTGTTAAATCAAATGAAGGGACTTTCAGAATATCCAGTTTTACTTTGAAAAACTTTTGTCTTTTGGACAGATTTTCACTGCTGTTGTTCATATTCTTATTCTCAACAACTACAATATTAATCTTCTTAATTTTGTTGCATTAAATGTATGGAGACATATTTGTGTCTTAGCTTCTGTGGGGATTAGAGTTAATAATTTGAGTGTTTTCTTCCTTTGTTTTTGATTTACATCAAATACGTCACAAACTTTGTGAACTGACGTCGAGTTAAATTTACTAAAACATACAAGCACGGATGAAAGGACAGTTCAGAGAGACACTGTTTCCTCCTGCTGAGTTTCTGCCCCGTGCTCCACAAAGTCTGGTTTCGCTAAATATCCCACAGAAGTCGATGGCTGGTGTTTATGAGGTGGGAAGTCTGTGAGTAATCGTGACGCAACACTACCAACTCCTCCTGGCTGCGTAGGGTAAAAAACAAAGCCAAAGAGAAAGTGAAAGAGTGCGCCTCAGTCTGGGTTGAGAGTTTGGATGTGTTGTTTTGTTGCAGGAGCCGCAGCACAGAGAGAGCGAAGCCAGGAGTGACTTTAGAAACGCAGAGCACTGAAACTGTAGAAACAGCCCTTTAAAATCAATGCAGGAAACACATCAAAGGAACAGGAGCATGACATTTATCGTTCACCTCGTCCTCCGGTTGCACCGCGCCCTGTAACCCCCGCCCCCCCCCCACCCACTCACACCACACCCTGCTGCCGTGCCAGCCTCAGAGAACAGCCCACAGACAGTCCATTACAAACAATATCCCCAAGAAAACATGCATCATTACACTGCGTCTGGCCTTAATATCTTTTTAATGTTTTTTTATAATTAAATCAAATGAGCTCTAAAAACTTGGATGTTCTTTGTCCAAGTTTTTTTTTTTATTTGACAAACGGTTTGTACTGTCGTACATAGAGCAGCAGCAGCAGCAGAGGACGGACGTGTGAGACAACCTCATGTAGTGTGTCATAATGTGGTGTTGAGGAGGGTTGTCCTCTGTCTTTAATGTCCTCACAGTGTGACACAACATGACAGTACACACACCAGCACAGTTTAACATTTTAACGGACTCTGTACCAGGGTGACGTCGTCTCAGAGGTTCAGATAACGGAAGAAAGGAAAAGGATTTTGTGATTTTTAATTGGATCTTCATCTTCTGCTGGTTGGAGGTTGATTTTTATCTTCAAAACAATAAAAAAATGATTTACCTGTTTAGTGGATCTGAATAATTTGGATTAAGAACATCAAGATAGTAAAGTCAAGCATTACTAGTGTGATCTGATACCTGAGTCTAACCAAGTCTAGCTGGAGCCAATCTCAGTTTACATTTGGGATTAGGTTGGATTAACCGTCGACATCAGGTGGAGAAATCATCACAGGGACGATCGACCAATCAAACCTCCATGACAGGGTCAGCTGAGGGTTCATTTTTGTTCCGACTCTTCTCCTTGGTCACTCACTAATGTCAGTATAATTCCTTGTAATTTCAGATATTTTCTCTGCTCAGATTTCTTTTTTCCAAATACAGTCCGTTTCATAGCAAACATTCGCAGCTTCCTCCAAATAACATCATTTACCATTAAATATTTTCATCTAGTGTTTATACGTTGTTCAACGTGAAGAGTTTGGCCGCAGGCGTTCGAGGAGATCTTTGAGGCAGTAGATTTGTCTGGTACCCTGGGAGAATATGTGTCACCATAGCAACCCAGTAAAAGATGAGTTAAAATGTAAGGAGAGTAGACAGCCGACACGCCGTGTTCTCCCTGTGTAATGTATTTAAGTCTACTGTCCCAGTCACTGACTGGACACTGACCTGTCTCTGACACTGACCTGTCTCTGACACTGACCTGTCTCTGACCCTGACCCACTTAGAGTCATCCTGGTCAAAACTTTACGGTTCTGACCAGAGGCACAGAAGAAACAAGTGATGAACAGTGGTTTCATTAGAAGTGTTCGCTCTGCGTTAGCATTTTATTTTATTTTTTTACATCTGCTTCAGCCTCCACAGTGCAAGAGATCAGAGACAAGAGACCGTTTTTATTCTGTCTCTCTTTTAACCTGAGCTGTGACTGAACAACTTGAACAAAGATAAACTGAATTTGTCCAACGTGTTTCCAAAGGTAGAAGAAGACGTCACCAATGATGAACATTTTCCTTTATGTAAAATAAAAGAATCCGATCGTTGGTTAAAATCAAAGACAAAAGAGTTTACAGATGCAGAGGTTGGAGCTGATTCTTCCTGTTGAAAACACAAAGGTAAACCCAGAGACAGACTGAAGTTTTACAGCCTTTGCAGCAGGGATTCATCTTTGATAAGGAACTTGTTTTCAGTTCTTAGACGAGGACAATGAACGGGTTGCCTGTCTCTGTAAAAAAAAAAAAAAAAAAAATTTCCCAGAATTCCAGAAGGAAGGAATTCACTCATAGACACCTTTTAGACATGCCTAGCTGTTGAAGAATAGCTTTATGATTTTTTTTTAGATTATATGATTTTTCCCCTCGCTGTTCCAGCAGCTGAGTTTGAGCAGCAGAAATTATAAAAAATATAAAAAATGTTTTCTAGCTTTTTAACCCACACACTGTTTTTTCTTTTGAATTAAAAAGCTGAATTAAAGTTCTGTTCTTCTGTAGTCAAACTCTTTGACTACTGTGAAGAAGTTCACGTCTTTATTCGATGACAGAACCGCTTCCCTCTTAACTTGGAACCAATTTTTCTGTTCCAAACTTTGAAGCACCTGAGACTTGTCAAGGACACTGAGGAAGGACACTTTAAAAGTCCTGCTGTTCAAACCATGTGAAAGGACGCTGAAGACACTGAACGCTGAAGCTTTTGTCTCAAAGTAAATGGAGTGAATCAGACAATCAGAGTTTTTTGGTTTAATTTCATCACGTTAAGTTAAAGCAGAGTAAGACAGAACCTTCCAGAACAGCAGCAGCATCAGCTATCAGTGCTGCAGTTGGTGTAAAAAGCAAACACACACACACACACACACACACACACACTGTACTACCACGTCACCACGGTGGCAGAATAATCATGTGGAGAAAATACACACATTAGTTCAACTTTCATTTGTCATTTGTTCAAAATGATCTTTTTCCTCTTTGTGGTTTAATTTTTATAAATCCTCCAGTGGGACTACCAGCAGGGATTGAATCTAACGTTGTGTTTTTGAATGTGCTCTTCACATATACAAGGCTCAGAGCCAAGTTTTCAGTCAATAAATGAAACAGGGCTACTGCCTGTCACCAGGGTGGACACCACCCAGCCCCCGAACCACAGGTTAGGGATTTGTGTAAAACCCTGCTGAATCACTGCGGTGGATTACAGCCACTGAGGCCACCGCTGATAAAGAGACAGGTTCTTCTTCTTCGTGGGTTGTTTCTACAGCGGAGACAATGACAAATGGTGGGGCTTTTGGCCCGGTCTATCTTGGACAAACATCTTCAGTTGGTTTTGTCTCTGCACCGACTGCTGATGCCATCACGGCTCTTTGGATCAGACCGTGGAGTCTGGCTTCCTGTGGAGCCGGGCAGGCGTGGGGTCTGTGTGCGAAGGCCTACCATGCTGTCACGGCTCTTTCATCACCAGTCAGGCTTGGCCAATAAGGAGATAAGAAGACAATGAGCGCGGGAGCAAGCAGTGGCAAGGTGGACCCGCTGCCCCTGGGCCCCCCCCCTGCTGAGCACTTCAGATTCTCATTAGTGTTTTTCAGCAAAGGGAGAGGGGATTTGGTGGATTAGGTCTTTGTCACAGCTGGCTCCAGGTCTGTGTTTGTCATTCAGGAGAACGGCACATCTCTGACATCCTGCCGCCCTTTTTCTTCACACACGCCACAGAGATCCTCCCTTTACCTGCTCGGCCCCGGAGGCCGTTCCTCGGTGTTCCTCGGTGTTCCTCGGTGTTCCACAGAATCAGGGAACCCATCATTAACTGGCTGACCTTGCCAAAGGTTTGGATGCCATTTTAGAGCCAGTGTGTCGGTGTCTGTAGGCCTGTGCTGCATTAGCATTCTTGTTAATGGTTATTTGTGTGGAGATAACCTTGGGAAGCATCATTAGTTTCTTGTTTACCGTCTCTGTCCTCAACTCACGCTGAGATCTTTGCTGAGATACCAGAGCAGGGGTTCAGAGGAGACGCCGCGCCGTCTTACCACTCCAGCTGATTTTCTCCAAGTTTGAGGTTTTGCAGGGACAAGAGCAATGTTGTACACACCTTTACTGTTTCATTTGCCAACTCAGGAAAAACAATACTGCCAACTGGTCACTTTTGAGACTATACAGCTGCAGAAGTGTTTGACTGGAATCTCAATCAGCAGACGTTAGTCATACGTCTGCACGTCTCTGTCCGCCTCCTGCTTCTTTGCTTTGTCTCACTTTGTTCTGGCCCCAGTCTCTAACAAGTGATTCCCAGACGCTCTACAAAAACATGCTTTGTGAAAGCGTAGCGTTTCTGCCTGAATCTCAAATATAGTCAAACAAACATGACTTATCAATCTCCAGTGCAGCGGTCCAAAACCAAACACTCATTATATATGGTGCTTTTTGTGTGTGTGTGT